AGGCAACTCAGTTATTTTCAGAGTTAAGCACGGTACAGAGGCCTGTTCACAACAAACAGCTGGCTGAACACAAGGAGAAGCAGCTGCTGCCAGCAGCACTGATGGCAATGTTGCTAGGGAACAAGAAGAGCCAAGCTTAAGAAAATAAAAGCATAATTCAGTAATGACTACCAAAATCCGGCTTCACTATGACTCTTGGAAATTATCAGGCCTTCCACCTGACAGATGAACAGAAAAGTTTAGAGAGCGGCTGAGTCCTTAGCTGGAACTAGAGCTGTTTAACTTCACTGGCAGATCATCAGCATGATGGCTGGGCAGGCAGAAGAGTCAGCGCGCTTCGGGCTGGAACAGCCCAGGCAGCCTCAGACACAGACATGTCTCAGGGCAGAGACTGAAGCCCAAGTTTTACAGTTGCATGAACATTCAACTGTATTCACTCTTAGTCTAAATCTTTACCTAATTTTTACGATGGGATCCACAATCCCTTCTCAGCACTTGTCCGGCAGTGTCCTAATTGCACACTGGAGTGGGACATGTACCGGCCACGCTGACCGCAGCATTAGCAGGCAGTTCTTGTGCTCTGCTGGGACATTTCCAGACTGAGGGCACGCACTATATTCTGTAAAACCGAAAAACAGTGGCGTTATTAGTCTTCATCTTTTTCTTCATAACCACACAAGACTACCAGAAGCGATCTGGAAGCAGAAATAGTAATACCAGCTTATGTAAGCGCGCCATTCAAAGTGGGAAGCAGAGAAAAACCAGGAAAGCGTTCTGAGCCCAGGACAAGAGAGCTTTGCAGGCTGGTAATGGAGAGCACTGTCTCCAGCCACTCGGTTGAGATAATTACTTTTTCTTGTCCTATTTTGCACCACGCTTTCAAAAGGAGCTACCTCATGGACTTCCAAATGGGCATGATGTATTTTTTTGATTACTTCTTTGTTGAGAAAACATTTCTTCACTACTCAGCTAAGCACATACCTGTTACTAGTTATTATTAGATAATAATAAAATGATAAATACTTTAGGGTTTGGGTTGGGTTTTTTTTCCTGTAGGAAGCACTATGTAATTGCAGCATTTATACCCTGTGCTAGGATAGAGTTGATTTTCTTCACAGTGACTTTTACCGTGCGATGTTTTGGATTTGTGCTGGAGGCAGTGTTGATAACACAGGGATGTTTTTGCTATTGCTGAGCAGAGCTTACACAGAGTCAAGGCCTTTTCTGCTCCTCGGGCCGCCCCACCAGCAAATAGGCTGGGAGTGCACAGAGAGTTGGGAGGGGACACAGGTAGGACAGCTGACCCCAACTGGCCAAAGGGATATTCCATACCATGTGATGTCATGCTCAGTATATAAAGCTGGGGGAAGAAGAAGGAAGGGGGGGGATGTTCAGAGTTATGGCATTTGTCTTCCCAAGGAACCGTTAGTCTTGATGGAGCCCTGCGTTCCTGGAGATGGCTGAACACCTGCCGGCCGATGGGAAGCAGTGAACGAATTCCTTGTTTTCCTTTGCCTGCGCATGCAGCTTTTGCTTTACATATTAAACTGCCTTTATCTCAACCCATGAGTTTTCTCACTTTTACTCTTTTGATTCTCTCCCCCATCCCAACCCAGGGGAGTGAGCAAGCGGCTGCGTGGGGCTTAGTTGCTGGCTGGGGTTAAACCACAACACACACTAATATCAGTTACTTGCTCTGTAGCTGAAATTAGCTGCTCCAGTTGCAGGCTGCTGCGCTCTTTTTCATCCTATTGCTCTAGTTGTTTAGGCTACAAAATGCAGAGTCTGAGGAAGCATAGACAGACACCTCCAGGAAATCACAAAAATTACAGCTGTGCCATACCAGAAACCAGGTAACTGCGCTGATCTAACAAATGTGCAGGAACAGCCAAGTCTCAGCATTGAGAAAAGCAGCCTGGTTTGGCACCTTGCAAGGCAGCACCACATACTGAGTAAAGTTGACACTGAAAGCATATTGCAGAGACAAGACTTGCCTGACACTCCACCCAGAATAATCTTTACCAGAAATAGCTTTGAATTTTCACAGTGATTGATTTATATATTGGGTGCACATCTCAGCAGTGCTTTTGCAGCCATATCCATTCAATTGGTTAGAATAAGACCATTTTATAAAGCAAAATGCTTTTTGCTCCTAGAGCCGTATCTAGGGGTTAAAACATTTCCTCTTTATAACCCTCTTAAGCAGCCTTAGACTTTGTCATAAACACTGTTTCCTTCAGGTGAGGATTTAGGCAACATCTACAAATACTTTGAAGAAGTTTGTATTTGCAGACAATGCAGGACAGATAACTGCAGTTCTACCCACTGATTTACCAGGCAGGAGTCATATGCAGGAATCCTCTTCTCATAGCTTGTGGAGTAGCAGTTCAGAGAAACGTGATTTGTGGTTTAGAGTACTCTGCAGTTCCACCCAAAAAAGCTTTTGTGCAAACATGCCAAGATCCTACCTTTCTCTGCTGGCCAAATGTTCCTCAGATCAACTCATGAATGGCAAAATATTCAACATAATTAATACAGTAATCACTGTAGCTTTCTTATTCTTTAAGATCACTTATTTAAATATGAGTGGGACAAAAAACACATTAGACATTCAAATGAATTATCTTAGTTTAATTAAGGCCGGTAAGGCGGTTACTTTACATATTGAAGCCATACATCATAACTTGAAAATAAGAGATCTAAAGGATATTTTCTGTTTGAAAAGTGTTGATTTTCCCCTCCACCAACGTTAAAGATTTGTATTAAAATACACATTTTGTACATTTCTTCTGACATCTTTTTATTAGAGAACTATCGGCACAGTTCTGATACCTTTGGTGATAGTATGGTACTCTTCTTGGTTAAGAACTTACATGGGCAGTGACTTTTGTTTTGATTGCGTATCAATAATTCATCATTAATGCAAGCCAACAATGGGAGGTCCTGGGAGCGAGGAGCTCAATAAAGCTTTTAAGATCCTTCCAACACTTTGAAGTTAATGGGGCATTGTTATTCTCTGTGATATCACAAGACTGGAATATATGAAAAAGATATTCAAGTACATTAGCAGAGGTACTAAGAAAATACACATAGCAATTCAGAAGTCTAGCTACACTAAACTCAATGGGGGCTGAATTCACATATGCAGGCACAGCACTTGTTAGAAGAGCACACACATGCTGCAAAGTAGCTGAAGATGAAAGAAACGGGCATACTGCTGGAGGAACTGGGATCCAGTTTCACTCCTTATGCCTGGAACTCGATTTTGAAACACAATTAACTATTTAGAAGATACAATATTTAGAATTGTTAAAGCACGTCACTGGGTTGTAATACACACTCAGAGAAAAGAACATACAGATATAGAACTATTCAAAACAACGCACTATAAATTCTGTGCAAACCCCTATTTTCTGGCTATATTAAAAATATAATTCCCCAACTCCTCAGACTTTGCTATGACGTGCCCTCATGAAGAAGGGAGAGTTGACTTAGTTGTTAGGCAGTTCGCTTTGAAGAAGCCAAATTTAGACTTCATGGGATTTGTAAACCGGGGGTGGGCTAAAGGGTGCAGGAAGCAGGAGCAAATACGCACCTCAGCTACCTCGGGTCTAGCCTGCAGCACAGCACCGCTCCTTCCCCCCCGGACTTGCAGTCCGCCCGTGTGATGCACAGGAGCAGCGTCCCTTTGTACCGGGGACCAGTGACAGAGACATTTAGGCAAAGAGCAGCCTGCAGCATCCTTAAAACAAGAATCCGTGGCTGCATCGTTTGCCCACGGGAGGCAGAGCAGATGGGATACCCCCCGTACCCACAGAGCGCCCTCCTCTCCCCGCAGAGCCCCCCGCACTGCTCGGCGGGGAGCCAGGCCCGACGCCCCTCACCTGCGCCCGGGGGGACCGGCACTCCCGCAGCCGCCTATACCACGGCCGCTGAGGCACCCGC